CTTATAACATGAGCGCAGCACATATTCTTAGATTGCCCAATAAAGAAATAGATGTGGTTTTGTCGACTGAAATAATTATCTTCAAAGACGTAACTAACCTCTGTCAATTCTATAGAAAAGCTAAATAAATGTCCTTTTTTTGTCTTACTCTGAAACCTATGCTAATAGTGCAACGATAACTCATTCTGAACTATCTTCGGAACAGTTATGACAGTTACAGTTTTACAGTTATAACAGTTACACAGTTATGACAGTTACAGTTTAGAGTTAACTGTAACTGGTGCATGCCTAACCATGTTTCTTGTATACACAGGATAGAAAGATGCTGATGTTCAGATGCGAATAAGCGTAAAGAACCAATATGCTTACGAAGACCCTGAATATTATGATTGAAAATAGAAAAACCTTTAGCATTGATATAATTTGGCATACGAGTGGAGAAAGGAAATGAAGGAAGTTCACAGTCAGCTTCATCATTCACGTTAGCTGTCACAGTTTGAAACAAATTGTTAGAGAAAGCATTAGTAAGAGAGAGAGAAAATAGATCACACAGAGACAAAACAGAGCTGGAATTGTCATTATTGGGTACAACAAGGCTAAAGATTGTTTTTTAAGTAATCATCCATTGAACTACTTAGTCTGAAAGTACCTGAATCGCTCAAGTGATGACCATCGCCAGATATCATATCGCGCTTATCATAATCAATCGGTATCAAATCCACACCCGTACTAATAGTTAGAGATGCTAATTTGCTGCTGTATTCTCTTATATCCCCGTTTATAGCTTCAACTAAGGCTTTCAGGCCACAAATATTCATTGAAGATAGAGTGGTTAAAGCTAATTTCAAATTTAGATACGAGTTTTTAAATGTCGCGATCAAAAGTTCTGTTTTATCAAGGGCATCACTCGGTTTGTCATATTTCAAATTGGTCGTGCCAACACAAACAATGAAGCGAGGTGACGGTCTGAAGTGTTTTTCTTTGAAAAACTCAGACATTATCTCGATCCCAGCACCATTTTTCGTGTGAACATGATATCGAAATGACTTATTCCAAAAATCGATTGTCCCATCACCAAGACCTCGAGTAATGCTCGATCCAGCTATTGTCACTAATTCAAATTGTTTTGCTTTCTTAAGGGGAGAAGTCGTAATTTCCCTCTGTTGAACCGGTGTGGATGACAAAGTGTTATGAGTATGACTCCATCCAATGTATGTCCACCAACGATGAGGAACCAGAAGATCATGTTGTTCAAGTATCATCTTTACCATCTGTTTTGATTGATCCCGGCCGACAGGGACATCTTCTGATCTCGATGAACTGTCCATTGAAGGTTCATTTGAAAAGTTTTCGATCTGTTGTGATAATTTTTCTATCAGCTTCATATATTGATCATTGGTTAGGTGTGGTAAACGCCGAAGCGTTACGGTCTCTACAGTCGGAAGAAGAATATCGTTTAGACTATATATAAACTAAATAGAAAACAATACAGCAACAAGTATCAACATCAAGTAGGAAACTTTCTCGAATTGCTTTTGATTCCACTATAGTCTTGTCCATGATTGATTGAGAAATTCATTCGTGAGTTCGATATGTGTAAACAATTTTGATAGTTTGAAGTTAATTGATGAAGTGGATGAAAGATGAT